GATGACCGTGATTGATATATGGATGGGTGCATCTAATAATAAGTTTTTGTAGGATGGTTCATTGTGTACAATAATTCAGTTTTCCTTATGTATTCCTTTTTGGGATCTGTAATGTACTGTTAAAGTGAACTTTAGATTGTTCTGCCTAAAGTAGTTTGTTTGTGGAGATGTAAGTGTAGAAATATACAAGAAACATTTTTGAGTCATACGTGAACAAAAAACATTCAATTGACTCTAAACAACATGGGCCTTAAGGTTTTTTTTGCTTCAAAAATAAGCCTTGGATCAAGAAAATTTTTTTTTAGTTTAGGCGAGATTCTGTTTCTTTATAATGATATTGCTGACTATATCAATGAACAAGGTGAAGCAATCTTGTATTCTGATTAGTTACCTGACAGGGCAAGATTCAGCCATGTTTACTTGCATGAGGAGAAATGGCTCTTACTTTTTTCATACAGAAAGGTTTTAAAATAACAAATTTGAGAAACACAGTAGTAATAATAATAATAATAATCATAATAACAATAATAATAATAATAATAACAATAATAACAATAATAATAATAATAATAATAATAATGATGATGATTTAAAGTTGATAATGCAGGAAGTGGTTGTCCAATATTCCAAGCTGGTGGCTCCTGTTAAAAACACTCAATAATGATACCAATTAGTTTAGTCATGACAGAAATCTTTCATTGACCAAGCCTTTTGTTGGACAAAATAGATTGATATTGTCCCTTCCTCCTTGCTCTTTTCATGGTTTTTTTCTTATGCCTTTGTCTTAATCCTGGCCATTAATCCTTTTATCCTTAAGAGTGACAAATATCTATTTCTCTTAACAGTGTCACTCCTGAGTGAAGCATTACAGTAGTGAGAATAAAGAAAATGATCACCAACTAAAGAAGCTCTAAATTGTTTAACAAATTCTCCTGGCAGGTGTCATAGGAAATTTATAGAGAACAAGTATCGAGAATTTGCATGCTGATGCTAGGGTGTAAAAAGGGTTAAGACACCAAATAATAACCAGGCTTAATATATGGCTGTGTCTCACAAGGACTGGGAACTACCAAATTCACGAATTTGATTGGCTGAAATCAATATTGAAAGTGGTCTAGATTTTCTTATCTAGACCGGCATCTAGACCGATCTAGAAAAGAAAGGTACAAAGAATATAAAAAATTGGCATATAAGACACAGCCATATAATAAACATCTCATTAACTGAGCTAGGTCGGTCTGTGTGGGAGAATCTTGACCTCGGTCACTTGTACATACCTCACTGCATTCAGTCTGTACCGGCGACCTCGGTCAAGATTCTCCCATACAGATCTCCTGCTCGGTTAATAAGAACAAAATAATAATCAACTAGACTAGTTATGTAAAGGAGTATTAATAAAAGCAGTTCAATTTTAGGAAAATGATCTTTCCTATCTACAGGAAGGCAAGGAAGGTGATGCTGAAAGAAAACGAATCATGAACATGGTGAAGGTATGTTCAAGTTGTTGCTCTGAAACTTAATACTGTATTTTTAAACCCTTAAACTCTTGCTCTCTCTGATTGCATTCAGTTTGCTGCCATTCAATGTTATGTATTAATGAATTAATTTACTCTGAATGGGTTAAAATGGGGTTCCTCTGGAGGCTAAGATAGTAACTAAGATTGATTTAATGAGGACCATAATGTGGGTTGTTGAGCTTGGTTTGTTTTGGGATTTATGTGGTCTTAGTTAGCCTGGACCAAAGGAGCAAGGCTGATTAGTTTCTAGTCAGCCTTTTTGAAAAAAATAGCTCAAACAGTACAAAATCAATGAGATTTGATATTTGTTTTTAGGAAGGGAAATTGTCTGTTGAAGAAGCCATGAAGGAGGCAAAGAATCTTGGAGTGATTGCTTCTCCTGAACCAACAAATGATGATGGGAATGGAGAAGAGAAGATCTTTAATTTTGGAGTGTACAAGTATGGCAGAGACAAGACAAGTCTGTCTAGAAGAATTTTACAGGTTTGACTTGCTGAAACAGTTCTTAACTTTAGTTACATTTTGATATCATATCTTCTTTTTCCATTTTTTCCCTCTCACTTCTCCCTTTCCTTGTTATTTTTATCTTTGTTGCCTTTCTTATCTGCTCGCTTGTTCTCCCTCATTTACATGTTTATTTGTGTCTTTGTTTAACCTTTCATTCAGGCAAATATTTAGGCAGAGCTCTGAAGTCTCGTGCATTGGATGTGAGACTCGCGCAAACAAATTCAATCTTATGCTTTCGCGCTCAAGCCATTATTTCTCACTTATTTAAGGTTTTGGATTTACTCTCACTGTTAATTTTGACAGAGCAAACTGCTGCTTTTGTTTAATACCCACAAAATTAATTTATATCCTTCTAAATATAATTTACTCCTTGTTCCTCATCTACTTGCTTTGAACATTTTTCAGCTGTGGAAATTCTTGCTCAGATTGAAGGAATGCATTCTCAGCTACATTTTTCCACAATTTTTTGGGGGAACACAATGATGATGATGATGATGCCTATGACATCACATCCTGAGCCAGCAGATGGACTTGAGAGGTCTGCTTAAGTTTAGGTTCCTCGGGCTGTAAATCTGTAAATCCTTCTACAGACATCTCCTTGTCGTGTTTTTCCCTTTTTCCTGATGTTTGTGCATTCAGACAGGCATTCAGGCAGGCACTCAAGCATGCATTCAGCCAGTCATTGAGTCTTACTTTCCAGGTTTCAATTGTTAGTAAATGTTTCCTTTCTCTCCAGTTTGATTTTCAAGAGAAGGTGCTGTGTATTATTCAGAAAGGAAACAGAAACAAGAAATTTGTATTCACTGATATCAGAGGGTTCGACAGTGAGGTGAGTTTTACATCATGCAATGACTTGCTATAAATATGCATTAACCTATTGACGTCCAGTGCGCCCGTATGCGCCCATGTAGACCCACACCCTTTCTACGCCTTGTGACATCATCACTTTTAACCCTGGAGCACGACTTTGAGCATGTACTTGAACAGGTTGAAAATATCTTACAAACGATACCAGAATGAGTGCAATTGAGTGAAGGAGATTGGAGAAATAGCCAAAAAACCATGTAACTTTGACCTGAAAATCTGCACGAAAATCTTGTTCCATTACCCACCTACCTTTCTGAGCATGTGGTTTGAAAATAATGAGTAGTTTCCTAAAAAATCTCTACACCAAAATGAAGCCTACTAAATTTTCAGCAAGTGAGGAGAAACTTAAGGCAAGGAGAGGGGAAAAAAGGGCAGGAGAAAGAGAGAAAAGTAAAAGTCATAAAAGTGGGGCATTACTTTTCAACCCAAAAACTATCTCGAAATTTTTCTTTCTGTGCGTGCCTGAGATTTTCAGGCCGCCATTTTGCATTTGGATCGAAAGGCCATCGAGTGTACGAGCTGTCAATGGGTTTTTGGTAAGTTTGAGCTTTTAAAACCACAACAGTGACCCAAAATCTGCTCGGCTAGCTTCAAAACACAGTTTTTCACTAAAGCTGCGGCCACTAATGGGTTAACTTGACTTAAGACGATGATGTGCAACTTTTTAATTTTAGGATGGTGTGAGGTTTTACATCTATCTTGAAAGTGATTATGAGCTTGATGCTGACAGTATTGAAGAGAAGAACAAGGTAGGTACATGTTTATTGATTTTGTCTCTGAAAAGTGTGGAAATAACAATTAAAATGAAATTGATTTCAATAAATTATGTTATGATTTCCCCGTAAGTTTCATAGGAATGAACATTTTAGCAGTTTCCTATTGCGTGTGAACTTGTATCTTGGGAATGAGGTTATAATATGGTTACTGTTTGAAATGAGAGTTTCCTGGGGAATTTTTTTTACGACAAGAATAAGGACACTAGAGGTTAGCAAATTTTAACCCAGTACCTTTGCAGAGTTGTTGTGGTATGACACACAGCTACATTTCACAAGTGAACAAAAGCTCCAGAAGTGAAGTATAGGCAATGACAACCGTACTAACACTGGCTAGGACAATGACAAAAACTTTGACCTTGTTGAAGTTGCCAGTGTTGAAGATGACAGTGAAAAGAACAAGAATGAAACAATGACACTAGAGTAAAAGGAGTTTAGCTAGCAATGGGACATTTGATGAGGGAGAAAGGAAGAATAGTCATGGCCCAAACTACAAATATTTTACTCCTCAGAATCAGGTGCATCAGAAAACATTTTATCTTAATTTCTCAAACAGATTTGTCATCTATTGGATTCTATTGTGACACAGAACAGAGGAGATGAACCAGATGGTAAATCTTTCATTCTATAACTTGCTCTTTACCAAGCAAACTACATTCAATCCAGCGAGATTCAAAATATAACCAAGTGAATTATCAAGTCAATCTTGTATCAAGCTAGTCAGATAAATGAGTGAAGAGTAGTGCATTCTACAATATGTAGAGAGAACCTGTTAGGAGAGTTTTGAGGTTAATGGGGTGAATATGAAATAAGTGACTAGGAGCTCTTTTAAAATTTTGGCTAAAAGGAGGGGCACCTGGAAGGAGGGTGCTTAACCCTAACCCTAAAAGATACCCTAACCCTAACTTTTTCACCTGATTTTACATGAAATAGACCTATTTGATTGCTTAATCCCAAAAAATGGATTTTTCCGAAAAAACTTGGTTCTTTGTTAATCAATAGGGCATTTTTTATTTTCTTTTACTGATTCTGCCGTAGTTGAAGCTTTAAAAGGTGTAAATAAAGTGGCAATAGAAACATGTTTTCCTTGTATCCTATCCATCTAAGAAAGTTCAAGAGGGGCACTTGTTTAACATTATCACCGAGGGGTGGGCACTTATTTGGGGAAATACATTATTCTTTTACCGTGTGACCAACAAATTTCTTGGGCTTAGTACTTTCTGGCAGACCTATTGACTTTGTCTTTCTAACTTTGAGGTACCTGTTTCACAACAGTAATCAATTTATTTGATTTGAATAGGGGAATTTAAAGCACCATCACTTGATGCTACAAAAGTTATCAAAGAAGGCCAGGTTGAGAAGAAAGGTCACAGTGCAGCATTTATGATGTGGCCCAGGTGAGGACAAGCTGTTAGGTCACTCAGTTTACTGGAGAAGCCATTACAAAGATAAAGACTGCACAGCAGAGGCCTTTAGCAGGAAGACAATGATAGTTAACAATGTCAATTAGAGTGCAGGGTCAGCCATCAAATAATTTTTTCACTGGCCATTCCTTAGGGGGGAGCATTGCGTGACATCCCGAAAGACGGCTGCGAAGGAGACTATCTAGCCATTCGTTAGTTCTGAGTGAAAGTGGATGCAAAGTTTACCAGGATTAGCTCTGGATATTTAATCAATTGCACAATAAGAAATTGCTGGACATTTAATGCAAACTTTATGGAAAGCTTTGGACACTTAAAATGAATATTTCCCCAGTCTTGCTCATAATCTGATGGAACAATATTGTGTTCAGGTTAACTGGGCCACTTTTATCTCTTATTTGCTTTCTACTTTTTTCTTGTGAAATGCTATCATCAGTGTTTCCAGAACCTATGCTTTTACAACTTCTTAGCACTCTTCCTCCCTGCAAAGTTTATTGACCAGCATTGCCCAAATTCTTTAACAAGCAAGGAATAGGTGTGTTGTCTGAAAAGCTATCATGTTTTTCATCATGTAGGCGATGGCTGCGTATCCAGCAGGGAGAATTATCATATTTTAAGTTGGGAGAGGAAAGCCAGGTGGGTTTCTATAAAGCAGTTGTTAGTTGTACAGGGTGGTTACGCTCCTGCTTTGTTCTTAGTTAACTTCCTTGTTTATCTTTGCATGAAGGCTGCTTTGAACATTGTCAAGCTTGGTCCTGGGCTGGCTGAAGTCAAGGGTGTGGATCATAATGCTTTCATTATCATCACAAGCAAGAAGGAATACAGGTGTGATAAAATAAAATCAGTGCATTTCATCTACCCCAGTTAGGTAGAATATGTGGTTTCCCACTAGTCTGTGTACCAAACAGTCAATAATGAGAGAGTGAGGTCCAAAGCAAGGTTTGGGCATTGTTATGTTTTTGGATACTGTTCTTTACTCCAACCGTTCGGAGTTAAAAAGCAGGCACGTTTATTCGAGTGAAAAACGGCAATACGGTAAACTCAGAAAAAAAAAAGCACCAACAACCTCGAAAATTGCGACTCAAAAGAATCAAAACTAAAACTCGCACACACTTGAATCGCACGCGTAACTTGGTTACGAAGTTTCAAAGTTTACGAAGTTTCAGCGCGCGCGCGCTAATCGCGCATCATGCGAGTTTGGTAATTGTCTCCGTAACACCAACAGTGTCTCTCTCCATTATATACGTGTTATTATTAAAAACTGGATCATTAGATAATGCAATTCAAGACTTTTTATTGGCTTAGCCATTATGGTATACGAGTCAATATACCATAATCTACAAATATGGTAAGCGTACGCGTCAGCTTAAAATTAAGAGAGAGCTAAATAATTTAATGAGATTTAATAATTTAACATTTTTAATAAAACAATTATTCGCGCCTCGTTGGCTATCTATCATCTCATATCCAACGCGCGCTCGTCGAATAATTGTTAATTTAACCAAGCGTGAGGTCGAGGTGGCTGGATATTTGTCGAGTTCTTTTTTTCGCATTTATATGCTTTTATATACATTTATATCCACAAAAATGCGAAAAAAGAACAAGGCTAATATCCAGTCATCTTGACCGAACAAGCTTGGTTAGTAAAGGACTTATTTTATTGGAAAAAGATTTCGCGTTTTTAAGAATTAGAATAACTTGTGTACTTCGAGAGCCGGGAAAGAAACCCAACTGTGTTTGTAGTACAGCAAGCTCACGAGAGTCTTTTCTGTTTTCTTTGTTTTGACTATCATCTGCCGCTTTTTGTGTTTCCATCGCCGAAATTGTCCAAGAATTACGAAGTTGATTCTAATTCTATTTTTTTTTCATGCGCGGGATCAATGCGGGCAATCCCGAGTGGGCAAGATGAGGCCATCTTGCCCGCTCGGGTAGCCAATCAGAACATAGGATTCGTTTCATGTTACCCAAGGGTACTGCGAGCGATGTAGTAAATTAAAGTGGATAGCGTCATCCAACCTTCGAACAACCCAGGCCAGAGATGGCCAGAGATGGTGATGTATCCAGTGGAAAGTGTTATCCACACGGCCTCAAACGCTGACGGCCTGCACGCTAGTCGCAAGGCCATTATACGCACCAGCACTTCAAAGAAATAATTCTTAACAATTTTTTTTTTCAGTACTGCGTCTTTGTCATGTCATGTGTTATGGTTGTGTTGTCATTCATTCATTAATGGTAACTAACCAGTTACTTATCTAAAGTAGATAACATCTAAATTGTGTTGTAAATTTGTGATTATTTCCATCTTTCAGTTTCCGTGTGTTGAATCTGAACAATGCAGGCGATAACGCTGTTGAGAAAGAAAGAGATTCATGGATTGAGGTTTATTGCTTGCAGTCTATCCTGCTTTATTTATTTTAATCATTAATGTAATACTAATTGCTCATAAATGATAAATGCATAGTCCAATGCTTTCATTTCATTTAGATTAACTGACTGTTAAAGTCCATTTTTGCGCCCATGTCCTGTACACTTTGGACAGTCTAAATGAAGTTGGAATATCTTGTTGAGATCATTAATTGCGCGGTGGAAAACCTCTTCTGAATTAGTGCTTTCCTTGAGAGCCAGTATTACTCAGTGAATAACACAGGCAAACTCAGAGAAAAAGAACTTCGATTTCTGCCAGTGGGAGTTGGACCTGCAACCTTCCATTTATTAGTTCGGATGCTTTATCACTGAGCTACAGGAGATTTGTGTTGCCATGTTGGGCGCGTGGAAGACTTATGACAAGTAGATATTCGCCGCGCTTAAAAAAAACACAAACTACCGCCTGCAAGCAGGCTATAGTTCACCCTTAGTCTGGAAAGACAGCCTAACATTTTCACAGACTGCATGATGTAACGGTTAGTTGGATGACAACTTGTTACTTTGAATTTAAGGCTATAACTGCAGCTTCACAAGTGAGTTTCCGTCAATCAAGAGCAGTGTCATCAGTTCCTGATGATGCAGGTTAGGAACCTTGAAATTTTTTTCAAAATGACGAAATACATCACTGGAGTTTAACACTGATTGCTATTTATGACAATATCTCAATCTAGTAATGATTGACTCTCGAATTTTTTCAGCCATTGCATCCTCTGCAATAGAACAGGAAAAGTTTCTTAAAGATGTCGTCCGAACACTTCAAAGGGTATGTTTTTACACCGTATTTTTTTGTCGATACAACACGACATCATTTATTATCCTTTATGCGTTTTCAGTACTGGATTTATTTCAATGTAAAATCATATATATTAAATTTCGGGATATAGTTACGGTAAATCATTTGTAAATATTTTGTAAAACGGAAACAGGTTTGAAGCCGCGATTGAGTCGCAGTTGCCTGACTTAAGACATGTGCAACAACGATAGCACAGAGCAGCGGTTATCAAATAGTATTGTTCTCGAATAACAGGAGCACTGATTCCTTTGAGTGGGTGTGGCGTTTATCTTAGGACGGTGTTTATTGAACTGTGCTTCCATTTGTGTCGTTTATTTTTAGGGCGGCTATTAATCGTGTAAAATGCAGTTTAGAGTTTTTCTTAAATACTATGAAGATTTTATAGATTTCGATGAAAGCTGGTTGGGAAAAAGAAGTATTATAAAATAAACCAAACTGAAAAAAACCAGGATTAATTTTGAAATTCATTTTGAATTTGACGTAACAATTTTACATCGAATAAAATACAGATTTCCTAAATACAGGAAAGATTTTATAAGATTTTCACTTCGTTTGCAAGGGTAAAGGAATCTAAACTACGTAGTTTGACGTTACTACACTTCCATTTTATTTCATATTAGGAGTTGGAGCAGTTAGCATCAGTATTGTCTGTAGTTAATGCACCTATTCAAGCAACTGTGCAGGTAAATTAGAATTTATTGATCAAGATACTTAAACGATAAAACCAAGATCCAAACGGAGCTAAGAACAATGTCACGAGGGGCCAATGATGATTTAGTACAAAACAAAAAAAAAAAGCTGCTTGAAGCGCGAGAAATCACAAGAAATCAAGTTTTGGCCGGTTTTCCTTTGTATCTGATTGGAAGAGAACGTTCTGATCGACGAAAGGGGGCGGGGGGGGGGATGAAAAGAGTGTAGTATTGAAAAAAAAAGTCAAACAACTCCTGGATTACTTTTTACATTATTTTTAAAATAGCCTTAACGATGTTACCTTCACTTAACCGGTTATTTTTTTGCTAACATATGCTGATTGATTAATTGATTGATCGTATATTTGTGAGAGCATTTTTACGTTTGTTGCTATTATAGGAGTTACTTGTAATAGGTATTATGTCACGATTCGTTAGCTTTAAAACCTTCAGTCACGTGGTAGAATGCTTATTTCAGGTAAAGAAGGTGAAAGATGTTGTGCACAATTTGGATTCTCAAGTCAAAACAGGCGTGTTGTCATGGACAATGTGAGAGAATTTGTAATTTTTCTTTTAGTGTTGTCTTTAAAAATTCTCATGCATTAAGATCCCAAAATCACCCCGTTCCTTTTCTTGGACAATCAAAGGTTCAAGTATGTTTCAGGTCCTTTGTTTTTAGGGTCGTCCCAACTATTTAATTTAATTTTTGATGAAAATTCTTCTGAGTAAGATCCAAAAATTATCTCCTATCTTTTTTTGGAAAATCAAAGGTTCATATATGTTTGGTTCTATGTTTTTGGGAACGTGCTTGCAAATAGATATTATTATTATTATTATTTTTTTTTTTTTTTCTTATTCACGGAGCTAAGTTTTGAGTCTTAGAAAATTGCTCATAAGATAAACAGAAACTTTGAAACAATATTTTGTTGTAACAGTTGTAGAGTAACACTGTAGAGATGAAAATGTAACAGAAGAGAAAGAGAATAAATGAGGGTTGAGGAGATTGGCACGAACTTTTCAAGTTGCGAATAAGGCAATTTTTGTAAAATGGACACATCGTAACTTGGCGCCACTAAGACCCACTAAGGCCCACGTTGTTCTCTCCTAGGAGACAAGTGCTTCAATCTAGGAAAGATTCTATCAAAGATGGAGTCGCGGTCTTACCACAACACAGAAAAGAGTATTTGAAAGACAGCAGCACCCATGTACCTCAATTCACCAAAACTTCACCTCCGAGAAGAAAAGACAGTGACAAGCTACCTAGCTTGCCAGCTCAACCTGAAGATGGTTATGAAAAAGTTGAACCCCCGCAGCGGACAAAAAAACCTATATCAGAACAGTCCTCACATGTCAGCGGTGGACCCCCTCCACGGCCTCATAAACCTTACGAGCTATTAAACACATCAGTCAGTGACAATTCTCCATCTACGCCTCGACAAACTGTCCCACCTGTGAGGCCTTCACGGGGTAGTAGTTCTTCTGTAAGTCACTATGAAACTGTTGAAATCAAACCTCAAAAACGCAAAGGATCGGATGGGGGAGATGTTGGTGAGCATACACCACCAAGGCCGCCTAAACCTGGTAGTGCTGTGATTGAAGATGACAACTCTAGTATTTATATGCAGCCACCCAAACCCGTGAGTGTCGTAAACCCAAGCGATGACTTCGATATTTATGACAATGTCCACATCAAGAACGTTCCGTTAGGAACGAAAGGTAGTCTGCTTGATGCTTTTACTGAAGAAACGAAAGAGTCTACTATCGTTGGTGGTTCTACCGGAGAGGAAAAGGAATCAGTGGCCACCGAAAATGGAATAGCTTCACCACGGACTCAGGAGACCAAGGATGACGTCACAAATATCATAGCAGGTGAATCAACGGACGGTAACCTTGAAATCGATTCAGGGGGGATGGGATGTGATAGTCTTGAGCAGGCAATGGAAGAGCGACGGCAGGTTCTGCAGGAGAAAGAAACTAAAGAAGGTGTGGTGTTACTTTCTAGGCAGAAGCCGAACGAGAAAGGTTCTGATCTGAGTCATACCTATGGTATGTGTTTTAGCTATTTAAGAGGCATGCGCGACCGCTCATTCACATCTTTCACTCATCTTACTCTTTGCAAAAGGCCTCTTCAGCTCTTTTAGCGTGTCTTCGTCAGTCAGTAGCATTCTCATGGTTGCAATAAGTATTTTTGGATTAGAAGACTCGAGGAATTCCACCGATTGCAACCTTCAGAGGCATCAGGATCTAACTTTGTATCATTCTTATCTTATTTTCTTTAGCCAAAAGCTCGATAAGCATCTGCTGTTCGGTAAATCGAAAAGGATTGAAGACTGAACACTAGAGTGGCCATGGTCTCCTTTAATCATAATGCTTAGACAATTCTTACTCGTGCGCAGCCTCATGATTCATAACTAGCTGGTTGTTACTACTTTGAAGCGTTGCTGGTGATAACAGCATTTTATAGACTTTCTTCCTTCTCTGCCCATGTCCTCAAATCTCTTCATTTCCTTCGAGTCGTACGTGTAACTATTTATTTTCGAGTTTAGAGATCAGTAGTTCGAAAGGTCGATAAACAAATTGAATTGTAGTCAGTGGTGTAACCAGTACAACCTCGATCATCAAATTTATGATGAAGTTCTTAGAATTCTAAAATTGCTTGGATCAGAAATCAAAAGCGCTTTCCTTTTTCAGGAAAATACTAATTTGAAAATACTTCAGACAAACAAATATTGCGTGTAAAAGACTTGCAAGTAATGTTTCCGTTGTTTTTTCTTTTCGTCCAAAGCTGCTGAAGAGATCGGAGATAATAGACCTACTTCGGGCAGCAATCCACCGCCTCCTCCACCCCTCCCCCCAGGAATTCCCCCACCCCTCCCTCCAGGAGTGCCCCCTCCTCCTCCCTCACTAGGGGGTGTCCTTCCCGGAAAACCTTGTGCAGTCCAGTCCAGAGTTAAACTTCGACCTTTCTTTTGGATACAAGTACCAATGCAAATGGTAAGCAGAATGTTTCTTTTTACACGAGAACAGATGTTTTCAGATACATTACCAACCCGGGACGTTTTGATACCGCATTCCTTTCGCCTTTTACACACCATTCGCCGCGACTTCGGAGAGGTTTTCATCATGTGGGTGCTTTGAAGCCCTTCATTTTAATTTATGTTGACATAAAAGCTACGTACACTCCCAGGCCGCTCTCAGAAGAATTTTATTTGACTCAGTTGGTCAGTCAGCCTACTTACGCCCTTGATCGATCGGTGTACAATCTAACGAACAACACCCAGCTACAACTACTTACTTGACTCTGACAAAGACTTCCGCTCAGGTTGCCAAAACGTTAGTCGCTACTACCGACAACAGTTCTTCTCAGGACTATTTGGTTGTATCAACTAAGTTGAAATTGTAAATTGGCCACCGTAGCGAGTTAAAAAGCTGACGTTTCGAGCGTTAGTCTTTCGTCAGAGCAAAAGGACTACCCCACCCGGACGATAAGACGACACCATAGAATGATTCCCCCGAGTGCGAAGCATTCCATACGGTTCAAATTATTTTGCTAAAGCTAGAATGGAGTCTGCAAATTTTTCTTCCTTAGGTTTCCAACTCAATGTGGATGCAAGCCGCTGATCGCACAAAGAGCATAAACTTGGATTTGCTCGAAGAAATGTTTCAGATAGAGGAGAAAGAAAAACTCATGCCTACTGGTGAGTGTGATCAACTTGCAAGAAAAAATATTACGTGAAACATACATCCTTTCGTAGTTTTGTGGGAACTGTTCTTATTCTTGAATCGCCTCATTTTTCTGCAGCTCCCACCAAACCCACAGCGAAGACGTTATTGGATCCAAAACGAGCACAGAATCTTGGTGCGTGATAGTCCTCGTTATCTTATTAATTATTCGTCACCGCAGAGCAGTTTTCAATTGAGTATTGAAAGTGCTCCTGGATTGCTTCGGATTTGCTTTACTTAGCTCTGTGATTGGTCTAGAAAACTCGCACCATCAGCTCAACCAGTCAAATGCAAGACTAAAAGTAGTTCCAACTTCGTCACCCGCGTTTTCCTGCGCTTCAAGCAGGTTGCCTCTCTCATTGGTTAATGATGGAGTCAACCTTTGTTCTGATTGGTAGTTGTGATAACTTTGGTTTTGCTTTTTCGACACTCGAATGAAAACTGCTCAAAAACAATAGAATAGTACAATCTGCGTGTGTCTTTAGAGAGATTTAGCACGACGTTACATGAAATAGCAAACGTCAGCTTGTCCTTTCACGTTTCACGTAGAATGGCGTAACCCTTGCTGTTTTAGCTTCGCGTGAGCTCTCGTCATGGTGGATTGAGGGTGCCCTTGTATCACTTACAAGCAATAGTTTTGGTTCCCTTTTCCGAAAATTAACTTCTAGTCTGTGAAAGAAAAGTGAAGAAAATCTTACTTACACGGCAAAAGTAAAACAGGTTAATCTCGCGTAGAAGCGTAGAAGCGGCAGAGCGTAACCGGCAAACGTGAAACAATGGCGCGAAAAACAAGTTCACGTGGTCACTCTCGCTGTTGACGTTTCACGCAAGCGCGGTGCTAAATCTCTCTTTTGTTTTGTTTGGAGACCGCCACAACTATAATTTCTGTTCGTCTCCTCGGAATGTTTGCCATTGTTCGTAATGGCCCTAGACATTACTTATTAAGCTTTGGTTTTTACACATGATTTACATTTAATCGCGTGCATCGCAAAGTGGATTTAAAACAATTTTCGTATTCTGCACATGAAACCCAAACCTTTCTTTTATTACCGTGACTCGTGATATTAACGCAAGCCGACACGTTACACAAGTACTATCAAAAACATTACGAGAAATATGATGCGTTGAAAAAAGTTCCAAGGGCGCAAATGAGCGTTTAATTTTTTTATTACTCTAAGAACTGACTTGTTTTGTCAGACACCTTAAGGATGCAAAGAAAGGGTGAAGTTCGTAGAAAAATAACATTTCATCGCTCTTAATCCTAACAGAAGGCGCCAAGTCTCCAATAATTCTGATTTCTCTTTTCCTTAGGAATTTTCCTGAGTGGGTTTAAACTGAGTACCAAGGAGATTGACGAGAAACTGAGTGTGTTCAGAGAAGAGGATGGCGCCTTGCCTATGGATCATGTGATTGCTTTGAAAAGGTAACAAAATGATACTCCCGTCCAGTTGATTTGCTGTTTAGTTGTTAGATTAACCCTTTAACTCCCAGAAGTGATCAACACGTAATTTCTCCCAATAATATCCTTACATTATCCAGTATACAGGTTGTGAGAATACTTAAACTTATCAGGTAGGCGTCGGTACCTTTATTGAGCACCAACTTCTCGTAACTAGTTTTCAAGGAAACGTGCAGTAGCTAGATGGGAGAATTAACAATCAGATCTTAGGAGTTGAAAGGTTAATTAAAGAGCGGGGCACAATTGATCTGATTTATCTTTGTCCACTGCGGACAGGTCAATTTTAAGGTTGTTTGATCCGATTCACGTAGGTCTTGTAATTAGATCTGACTTAATTAGGTCAAGTTTTAGCATTTCAATAAATTTTTTTCAATCAATAGGTTTCTTCCATCAGCTGAAGAATTTGAGATGTACAAGAACTATAAGGAAGATCCCAGTGCATTACTGCCAGAAGATCAATTTATGATGAAGGTAACAACAGAAAACTTGCATTTGAATAGCATATGGCATCTCTAACGAATTATGAGAAGTTCTGATGGTGAATGAAGGTTGTGCTTTGCTTGTAGAGAAGGACTTGGGGTAGAGTGGTTCTAGTGACCTGAAAGGCAAAGGAATTATTGAAGAAATGTTTCCCTCCCACAAACGTTACACGCAATATTCAGCAAGAATTATGGATTTTTTAAATCGTGTTTTTCTTTGGTCCTCTCTTCTTGATTAGCTTTGTGGGATAAACGACCTGGAGAAACGTTTGGATTTACTACTTGTCATTTTGGAGTTTCCCCAACAGTTTGAAGATCTTGTACCAGTAAGTATCTTTACCATGGCTTAGAAATCTGATGCAAGCGAGAATAAAAGCGCACATCCACGCAGTCATATCTAGTGAGCCGGATTTTAAAAAAGTTAGGAGGAAAAAGTGATACTCCTGTAGTGAAACAAAGACTTTTGGACGAGTCATTCTTCATCGCCGAGGAGGGGCGGAAGATTTTTTTTGGGGGGGGGGGGTGGTTGGGCTGGGATCACATGATTTTCAGGGGAAACGGAAGGGATCAGTCATCGCAAATAGCGTATAAAGGGGAGACTATAGAAAATGGACTGCCAATTAACTTCCAGTAAGAGGGGTGGTGGTCATAAGAATATTGCGGAGCCCTTTGGGGGTACAAGGTAAATTTAGTCATAACAACCCAAAATCTTCGTAACAAACCAAAATCTTTCGACCCCCACCCCCTCCAGTCGATAAATGACCGGCCAGCCAGTGAGAACTCGGATTTAATACTGGAAATTGGTTTCCGTTGCAACACCTCAAGAAAAATAAAACTGTTCACTTTGCATTTGAAACTTTTTGACAAAAAGAGATCAATGATAAATTTACCTTTTTTTCTAATTTTCATTTTTCAGAATGTGAATAATCTCTTGCATGCCTGCAACGAACTATACAACAGCAAAAACTTTCGGCTTACCTTGGAATACGTGTTGTCAGTTGGAAATATTCTGAACACAGGCAGTACCAGAGGCGGGGCATACGGGTTCAGGCTTCACTCCTTACCAAAGGTAAACGGTTACTAGGGTAACTCATCATTGACTGATTAAACTTTACACTGGTCAGCAGTTATAACCAGCAGAACTGGTCTTGTTATTTGCTTTAGGCTAGTAGACTATCTCGCTCTAGATCGGATTACTTGCGAAATGCTCGTCGTGAAAATTTTGAAAGCCATCAGTAAATTGTAGACTATTGAAGTCATGCGAGATGGCGCAACTATAGACCACTTTTTCTTTAATGCCTGGCCTCATCGTGGTCTTTTATATTCATAAACCTCAGTCTTTATGGCCTCTACCACAAGTTCAAAAACAGTCGAATTTTCACTCAAAATTGATGCCAAGAGGGCTAATTTGCAAGCTCATCAAAGACTTTTGAAACTTAAGCTCTTGAATTTTTGTATTGCATTCGCAGTTGGCAGATGTTCGAGGAAATAACAAGAAAAACAACCTCCTCAAATTCCTAATCCTTCAACTCCAGCAGTCCAATCCTGAAGCGTTAAATTTTACAGACGAATTGAAAACTGTCCAGAAAGCTGCAACGTGTGAGTAAAAAAAACATATTGAAACTAAGTTCTCTGATTAATATATCAGATAATTATCAAACAAAAGGTGAAGAGAAGACCCTCGGGTATAAACATCACGGGCTTGGGACAGGGAACACTTGAGCCCAATGAGAAGGGGTTTACCTACCTCCCTCCCTCCCTCCCTCCCTCCCTCCCTCCACCTAGGACCAGGATGTTATAATGTTTTAATCTGGCCTCGCTCTGTCTTGTAAATGGTATCCTCTGGAGATAATCAGAGATTGAAGAAACCTAAGACTGGAAAGTTAAAGGTCAGTGAGTGCACCAGCATTTTGAACATCAAGATCCTGTGGTATTTGAATTTCTACTGTATTTGCTTTGGAATTGAAGCTGTTTCAGTACCATCTTATGCCTTTCTTGTAAACAGCCCTCTCTCTTCCTCTTGGCCAATACTGCAGAATTAATTTAGTGGGATCTCCCCGCAACTTCCCCATCCCAGTAGTCAAAGGCCGAACTAACTACGTTAAATTCTCCAATTTGTGTTTTTCGACACTAGGCTCATCCAAAGCCTTGTTTGCTGAAGTAGAAGGTGTGTATAATTTTTTTTTTCAATCGACGCATCATTAACCCAGCCCTTCATGTCTGGGCAAGTTTACACTAACGAATTTAACCCCAAACGCTGAGCTCTCTCACTGCTCTTTGACTTCTACTCCTGGACTATTTCCACACAAAACATTTTTTGACTCTGCAGAAGCGATAGTCGAGCCATGGTGATCATTTCCTGTTTTTCTTTATAGTGATAAAGAAAGACCTGAACAAAATCAAGAAACACTCGAGCGAGCTGTTTTTGAAGCGTCAACAGACCAATCCAAAGGATGTCAAACTCCACAACGACGTGGAAGTATCCTTTGCGTCGAGTTTGAACTGAGAAGTATCATCTTTGTCCATATCTGAAGGCGTCTCGGTCACGCACGGCTCAGTCACTATTTGTCTACACTTAGTCACTCTTTGTTACACTCGGTCACGATTTGTGCCGCTGTCACTTCTTGTTCAAGTTTACTACCTTGGTGGTCAATCTTTGTGGACAGATTTAAATTGACCTTAAAGCAACAGTTTTAAATCACTGTTAAAACTCACGAGCAATAAGTAGAAGTTGCATATAAGCTCACAAGTTATACATTGAACCGAAACTTATGCAGCTTTGCTAACCATAGGGCCGCAAAAAAACCACCAACATCACCCCCTAAACAGAGACAAAAAAATGACTAGACTAAAGCTTAGTGCAGGTTCCATTTCAGAGGAATGAGCATTAGAATAACAAATACGATTTCAAAGACTTCATCATCTCAATTCAATTTGTTGTTCCGTAAATCCGAGTTGCCATGTAAGTTGTGGCTTCCTATACTATTAGACTGAATTATTAAGATGCATTTAAATGCACTTGTATATTTATTCTTTAACAATCTACCCTCAGGCTTTTGTTAATGAATATGAGCAGAAGATAGATGATTTGGGTGAGCAGTGCAAGCAGATGAAACAGATCTACAACAAGGTCTTGGTGAGAAAAACCAATCAATATACAAGTGAATTGTCTATGTGCATGCCTTGGAGAACACAAATGGAGAAAGTTTGTTTTTAGCACAAGCTCCCTCCATTACTGACTGCTCTTAGGTCTTAGACCCACAATGATTTGTTTCTGTGCGGTTATGTGCCTTTTTAAACTTTTGATCCCTAAGAGTGACCAACATCTAATTTCTCCTTACAATATCAGCCCTGAATCACACTCGAAGGTCACAAGATTAAAGGAAAAGATCAACTTAAGAAGCTCTTGATTGTGAAACAAATTCTTCCTGTTAGCATTGTTGGAAATGTACAGAGAACAGTATGGAGAATATGCATACTGATGTTAGGGAAGAAAAGGCTAATACAGCGTTACTCCAATTGATGGCATTTTACTCTTGTCTGAACAGGTTTCTTTCGGTGAGCCTCAGAGCAGTGATTCAGAGGAAATTTTTGAAGCCATCAGCACTTTTATCACACAGTTCAAGATAGCGTTGAAAGAGCAGCAGCATGGCAATAAGCAGAACAAGGGTATCAAATTGGAGGGCCTCAGGTAAGATATGATATAAGGTGCTTGGTGTATATGAATGGTGGCACTGAAGTGATAACGGTCTCAGGTGAGGCCCATGGGTTACAGCGAGGGGCATTGCCGCGGCAAAGGCACCCAATGTAGAAAAAGTCAAGTATCTTTATTTTTTCGTGCGATGTGCAAATTTACATGCGATGAAGTTACAAAAAATTATTGAGGCTGATGCTGTCCAGCATTGAGATCTCACGTTTCGGCCATTTTATCATGGCATAGAGGCAGTTTAAAAATCGACAACTAAACGCAAAGCGTTTGAAAGCGCTGCGTATGAGTCATGGAAGATTCACACAGGAGTTGCGCAAGGAAGCATGCGAGGGAGTTATGGGAGGGTGCTACCTTGGGACATGACCTATTTCAGTTTTGCCAGACTCGTCCAACGTGGAGAATTAACGCCAGCAAATGCACTTCGTGTCTATTGAATGACAATAACGGTAGAGATATCTTGATTTTCAACTTATTTTTATTTTCAGCGAGGCCATAGCGCAGAGGCAGAAGTCGATAGGTGTAAGTGTTTTTTCTCATCATTCTGCGTCAAACGATGTTTTGCTTATTGTCTTATTGATTCTCTGCGAAGTTTTCAATCTAGTCCTGTGTTCTCCAATGAATAGCATTGAAATATTATCTTTGTGAAATGTAAGATCTGCCCTGTGGGGAAACTGGATCTCACCGAACTTTTTGCGTCCTTTTAGGACTCCATTTCAGTGGCCTCTATGAGTTCTTTATCGTCAACATCAAGAACCTCCGGCCAAGACAATGTTGATGAAAACAAAACCAGTCGGAACGATCAGGTGAGGACAAGAAATACCTAATCATAACATATTTTGGGGAGCCATATTTTAAACTGCTGTGGTCTCAGTAAAGTACAAATGTCAAGTGCTAACGTCAGTAACTAATGTCAAGTGCTAATGTCAGTAAGGTACTAATGTCAAGCGCTCCACACCCCTCCCTCTCTCGGGTATTGTGAGGCACTTCACACAAGTGTAATATCGAGGACCGAGCAGAACACCATGAACTGACCAAAAAGTACCCTCTTCCCAATGTCTTGTGGTTGTATTTTTTTCAGGAATTGCTTTTACTTTTTTTCTTTCAGAACAGAGACAAAATTCTTGAAAGAAAGCCATCAAATAAAGATGCGAACACTTCTTCTCACGCACCACCCCCTGTCATTCATAAACAGGTACATGTAATGATTTTTTTGTTGATGTTTTCTCGAAGAGGATACTTGTCGACGAGCCTGTGTCAGATTAATTTTTTCTTTTTCCCGTTAGGTTATTAAAACACATTCACCTTTTAACCCCTAACAGTGACTAACATCTAATTTCTCCTTGCAATATCACCATCAAACATTAAGGGTCACGGTTCACGAGAGTACGATAGAGGAAATGATCACCAACTAAAGACCTTCTTGATTGTGAAACAAAAATGGAGAACGGTTTGGAGAATATGCATACTGATGTTAGGGTGTAAAGGGTCAGGACCAAACGAGTAGAAACTGAAATTATAACCAGACCATGGATAAGGAAGGAGATAAATCCATCCAACGAATTAATGGACACTTGCGCATTAGATAGAGTTTCACCCGGTCGTTTCTCTTAGTATTTGATTATCCTTTAGAGTTGACTACGTCACTATCTTTTCTTTTTCAGTTGAGCACCAAATTACCGCCAAAATCACACTGGAGAGCGAATCAAAAACCAACAAGGAAAGGTTTCCTGGACAAGCTCAGCGGAGGCAAACATCATTCTCCGAAATGGGACAACAGATATTTCGAGCTCACGGACACGGGATATCTTAATTACTACAAGAAAGCTGATGGCGGCAAACCTATCAATTCCATCTATTTGAGAGGTTGCCCTCTGGAGATAGATCCCAACGACCCTCTTGTAATTCTCATTAAGACCGAGGAGAGAGAATGGAACTTGAAAGCAGTAACTGCTGAGGAGGCCTGCGCATGGAAAGAGGTTCTGTCATTTTACACTGACAAACTGAACTGAAGGCTCATTAATAACTCAAGGGATAAATTTTTGCAAGCGCATTCGAACAATGGGCTTAATTTTACGGTTTGAGACCGAAATTGATCCTGGTCCTGCTGTTTGACAATTGGGATGATCCAGGATTTAAATTCAATCCGAGGTTATTTTGCTTAGAATGATTTCAAGCCTGAGAATTACATAAACTATGAAAGAAATGAAGAGGAAACGAAAGTTATCTTAAAATTGAATTTGACGACAACCTTGGATTTCTTCAAAGACTTATTCGAACAAGTGGGGCTAGGCCTCGAACCGATTTATCAAATTTCCACTCAAGTTCTCTTTTCTTTCAAAATGAAATTCTTGCCGTAATGCGATATTGTTGTTCAGTTTAAAAGGCTTCGCATCCTGTGTCAATTATTTAATTATCAAAAAAGTGTACTTACCTAGTAACTGGCACACCATGCATCCATGTATGTTACTTAACGTAAACTCTTCTCAAAGTGTTGGGGAATTTTTATTATTATTATTATTATTATTATTATTATTATTTGTGCTGAAAACTGTTGAACAGGTGATCGATTTTCATTATATACCATCCAATTTTTAATATAAACAAATGAATGGAAGAAAAATATGAATCAAAAATGAAAAAGATACTTAAAATTCATGAAAATGGTTTAAATCATTTATTCCCAAGATTGTGTAGTTATATAGGATTGTGTAGGTATATAATTAATGATTTAAGTACGTTAAATTTTATTAATTCATCATTTTGCGAGAGACATGAAAAAGAGACTTCACGCAATTTACTGAACTACTATCTTTGGTATTTCTCTTACCGCTTACGCTACTTGGAAGACCTCAGCATTTGTCATAACTCGAGAACTGATGGTAATATAAATTATTTTAAGCAATTCATTCGATGTAAAGGAACTTGCGAAATATCACAACAGAATTATGAATTATAATCATGCGTTATTGTATTAGAAACGTTTAGTACAAGATCTTTGTTGTCTTACACATTTTATTTACTTTTGTGCGGTTGGTGCGAGTCTGGTTGAATTTCTTGACGCAGGTGTGACATTTCTGAGTAGTATAGTGATTGAACGGTATAGATCATCAACCCTAGGGCCTAAAAATCTGAAATAATCCATGAAAAATATATAACTCTAATCTGTAAAAGTGATCTGTAGAAGTGATCTGTGAAAATGATCTGGAATAAATTTGTAAACTGGTATGACAAAATCCAAAAATCCAAAAAAAATCCAGAAATTTTAAACTTTATGGAAAAATTAAAATCATAAAACACAGCCTCGAAATGGCTTCTTCTTAATCTTGTTTTCAAATTAAAACACTTAAATTTTTTCAATTCTATTTATAGTATGAGAGATGTGTGATTATAATATTCATTTAGCATTATAACATAACCAAAGTAAAGCGCGCGCTCTGATTGGTCAATTTAGCGTTCCCCATTTGCCCATGGGTGTACGCTGCTGACGTGAGCAAATGCAAAGACTATTTTTCCGCGCGCGCTTGTTTTTTCTGGTCGCGTAAGATTTGTTAAATAAACGGGAACTCTTTAGCTACAATGTATCAATGTTATGTTATAAAACAAATGGTAAACACCACAGCGTACACTATTGAGTTATGGATGCACTTGGGAGGTTTGCTAAGCACTCAAGAAGCTAGAGTCGCTCTCGGCTATCGCCTCGAGCGACTCTTACGCTTCTTTCGTGCTTAGCAACCTCCCGCGTGCATCCATAACTCAATAGTGTACGCTGTGGTGTTTACCATTTGTTAATTACTTGAAGATGATAGATGTTATTGTCCTTTTTGTGATAAAACTATTAAAGAAAACGAAATTGTTGAAGAGAAATGTTGTGAGAGTCAAAATGTGAAATGAAGAGATGGTTCATTTGTTTGTATTAATTGGGGATTAGTTCATGGTTATAATTTAGAAGATTGCAAGTTCATTGGTTTTTATAACAATATGTATAAATTCCAAAAAAAATCAGTCTATATCAGAAAATACCACATAGAAAAAGTTATTTATGAAATTGATGATCAATATAGAATTCAAATATCTCGAAATGATATAAATAAAATCATTTAAGTCTTTGATCTTATCAAAGAAATGGAACCTCAAATAAAAAGTGGAAGAAAACGGATAATATCAATGAAGTTTATCATTGGTAAGCTAATTCATATGATGAATTTATCACCAAATGAAATCAAAGCTCCGAAATCGAAGAAGACTATTAAATAATATAAGAAGTATTAGGCTCAAATAAAAAATCTTATTGGAGATGAAATTGATTCGATCCTTAATCAGCAAATTTAACATCATATTTTTAAGAATATTTGTCTGCTAATGGGCACATGTCTATTATCAATTCATCAATGACTTTGACATGATTTAAAAACACATGCTCATCAAATTGAAGCCCTCTCAAACATGACCTCAATTCAGTTAATGTCTTTTCATAGGATGTGAAAGCAAACTTGCACATCTCGATATTTTTCTTATAATTCTTTAATTCCAAGAAGGTTTTTAGTACTATTCCAGATCCAGTCACAATACCATGGATAATTGGGTTTAGTGTTACACCACCAATGATGGCTCCAGTAGCAACTAATCCAACGAATGTTATCCTCAGAGGATTAAAAACTAATATTGAAATAAAAAATAACATATTGAAATTCAATAATTATCATAAACAATTACCAGTTCCATTTGTTATTTGTGCTGACTTTGAAGCTATCACAGAGAAAATTCATGGATGCCAGCCTTCTGATAAAGAATCTTGTACTAAAGCTTATCAAAAACATCTTTGTAAAAAGCTTATCAAAAAAATCTTTTGTAAAAAGCCTTAAGACGAAGTCTTAAGGCTTTTTACAAAATTTGTTCATTTAAGGAAGCGAATAATGATCATCAGCGCTCTGTTAACTATGGTGCACAGTTTGCGAGTTTTTCGCGGAATCAGCTGGCAAAGACCCTTCGTTGGAAGCTTTTCCCAGGAAAAAGACAATTATTTGCGACGAGGGACCTACCCGTCAGTGTTTTCCTAATACCGGAAAAGCGCCTAAGACTTGCGATTACCCCCTACCCGATTTTGACGTCATTTGTGACGCGTGAATAAGAACCCAAGGAAAGGTGGAATTTTAATTTTAACAAGTGATATTTTTTTAAAAAAAAAAAGATAGCTGTTTTAAAATTTGATTGGTGGAAAAGAAGCTTCCTTCGACTGACGCGAGATCCAAATCAAGCTCTCACTGGAGACTGCGTATTGTCTTTAGCGATTTTGGTGCTAATCGTTTGCTTTTAATTAATTTTGAAACTTCTTCCCGGCGTTTTTGTTGGTTTACAGAGTTGCGATAGTACGAGTAAGGGAACGAGGAACTAAAGTGAAAGGAAAACAGGAGAACTGGGTAGAATTCTCTGAGGGAGTGTTTGATTTATTTTAAGCTGCATTATCTATTGCGACTGCCCCCTCTTCCCTGTCTTCACTGCTTGAACGGGCCAACTTTCGATCAAACGTTCTTTCTTTCGACGGTCGTTATCCCTTTGGCCCCTATGAATGACCGGCATCTAAATTCTCCTTACAACATCACCCCCCCCGCATCGCAAAGTAAGGTTAAGAGCATTAGGAATATGATCATTAACTGAGGGAACTCTTGATAGTTATACAGATTCTCCTTGTCAACACCTTAGAAAATTTATAGAGAACAGTATGGAGAATATACATACTGATGTTAGGGTCTCTTATCTTTGTTATCCTGTCCGCCTTGTTTTGCGCTGTCATTCACTTCCGTGCTCCTCTGAAAATCAGATCTGATCGCAGTCCAGGAACTCGTTAATTTGTTAATGTTTTGTCGTGGTTGTATTTCATTTACTATTACGCTTAACCATCCTAGTGATCTGTTTGAGTATTATCTGTTTACTGGCAATTAAATTCAAAAATTTGCCGCCGTTCACCGTTAAGTCTGAACGGAGCAGTTACGGTACAGATGTTTATTCAGAAAAGTAGCATAGTGATTGAGCGGTATAGATCATCAACCCTAGGGCCTAAAATCTGAAATAATCCGTGAAAAATATATAACTCTAATCTGTAAAACTGATCTGTAAAACTCATCCGGAATAAATCTGTAAACTGTTATGACAAAATCCAAAAAAAATCCAGAAATTTTTAAACTTTGTGGAAAAATTAAAATCATAAAACACAGACTCAAAATGGCGTCTTAATCTTGTTTTCAAATTAAAACGCTTAAATTTTTTAAAAGTGCTTAAAGAAAAATTAAGTATAACAATTAAGAATGCGTATTTCTAAATCAAAAAAAAAATTTAATATATATAGTATGAATAAAGAAAATTATCAAAAATTTAATAAAGTACTTAAAGGAAAAAAACGTAATAAAATTATGCAGAGTGATTCCAGATCCAAAAAAATATTTACATATAGTATAGATAATATGAATAGACAAAATTTAGAAAATCTATCGAGAAAGCAACTTAGTAAATTAATTCCAAAAGATGTTATGATTCAAATTATTTTAAATGAAAATCAATCACCAATTATTCAGCAAAGACAAAAAAGTGTAAAACAGATGGCTCAAGAATATCAAGAAAAAAAATATCAAAAAACAAATCATAGAACCTCCTATCATTCCAATTAATAAACTAAAAATAGAAACAAGCGTTTGGGGATTGTCAGAGATTATTAAAAAATATGAAGATAAACAAAAAATGGACAAACCTGTTCCACCACCAAGAACAAAAAAGCTTACCAAAGTAATTGAAACAAACAGAGCTTTGAAAGGATATACAAGATTGTGTGAAATAAATATTAAAGATGAAAAAGACCATTAATTCAAATACAAAGCACAAGAGTAGTTACAAGAAAATTTATTGAAAAAGTATTAAAAGAAATGAAAGGAATGAAATTAGTTGAATCATTAAAAATAACTTTTGAAAAATTCAATCCTGATGGTGAATTTCAAATTAAAGAAGTATATTTCAATAGTAAACCTATTAGACATTTAAATCCACAAGATAAGTATACTCAGAGGATTAAAAAATTACATATTGAAATAAAAAATAACATTGAAATTCAATAATTGTCATAAACAATTACCAGTTCCATTTGTTATTTATGCTGACTTTGAAGCTATCACAGAGAAAATTCATGGATGCCAGCCTTCTGATAAAGAATCCTATACTGAAGCTTATCAAAAACACACTGATTGTGGATCTGGTTATGAAGTTGTTTGTTGTTATGATGATAAATACACAAAACCAATTCAAATATATCGTGGTGAAAAAGCCGTTTATAAATTCATGGAAAAATGCTTGAAGAAGTAAAATATTGCAAGAGTGTCATCAAATCAAAATTCAACAAACCATTAAAAATGACAAAAGAAGATGAAGAACAATTTAAAAATGCTGCTAAATGTCATATCTGAAAAAGAATATACTGAAAAAGATACTCGTGTGAGAGATCATTGTCACGTGACTGGTTCGTACAGAGGTTCTACACACCAAGATTGTAATCCTAATTTTCAAATAACTGATAAAATACCTGTAATCTTTCATAATTTGAGAGGATATGAATCCCATTTTATAATGCAAGAGATTGGTGAAATCGTTAAGAACAATAGATACACAAATAAAAAAGGAGAAGAATGTCAAATGAATATAAATGCTATTCTAAATAACTTAAAAAAAATATGGCTAAGTTGCTTTCTCGATAGATTTTCTAAATTTTGTCTATTCATATTATCTATACTATATGTAAATATTTTTTTAGATCTGGAATCACTCTGCATAATTTTATTACGTTTTTTTTCTTTAAGTACTTTATTAAATTTTTGATAATTTTCTTTATTCATACTATATATATTAATTTTTTTTTTGATTTAGAAATACGCATTCTTAATTGTTATACTTAATTTTTCTTTAAGCACTTTTAAAAAATTTAAGCGTTTTAATTTGAAAACAAGATTAAGACGCCATTTTGAGTCTGTGTTTTATGATTTTAATTTTTCCACAAAGTTTAAAAATTTCTGGATTTTTTTGGATTTTGTCATAACAGTTTACAGATTTATTCCGGATGAGTTTTACAGATCAGTTTTACAGATTAGAGTTATATATTTTTCACGGATTATTTCAGATTTTAGGCCCTAGGGTTGATGATCTATACCGCTCAATCACTATGCTACTTTTCTGAATAAACATCTGTACCGTAACTGCTCCGTTCAGACTTAACGGTGAACGGCGGCAAATTTTTGAATTTAATTGCCAGTAAACAGATAATACTCAAACAGATCACTAGGATGGTTAAGCGTAATAGTAAATGAAATACAACCACGACAAAACATTAACAAATTAACGAGTTCCTGGACTGCGATCAGATCTGATTTTCAGAGGAGCACGGAAGTGAATGACAGCGCAAAACAAGGCGGACAGGATAACAAAGATAAGAGACCCTAACATCAGTATGTATATTCTCCATACTGTTCTCTATAAATTTTCTAAGGTGTTGACAAGGAGAATCTGTATAACTATCAAGAGTTCCCTCAGTTAATGATCATATTCCTAATGCTCTTAACCTTACTTTGCGATGCGGGGGGGGTGATGTTGTAAGGAGAATTTAGATGCCGGTCATTCATAGGGGCCAAAGGGATAACGACCGTCGAAAGAAAGAACGTTTGATCGAAAGTTGGCCCGTTCAAGCAGTGAAGACAGGGAAGAGGGGGCAGTCGCAATAGATAATGCAGCTTAAAATAAATCAAACACTCCCTCAGAGAATTCTACCCAGTTCTCCTGTTTTCCTTTCACTTTAGTTCCTCGTTCCCTTACTCGTACTATCGCAACTCTGTAAACCAACAAAAACGCCGGGAAGAAGTTTCAAAATTAATTAAAAGCAAACGATTAGCACCAAAATCGCTAAAGACAATACGCAGTCTCCAGTGAGAGCTTGATTTGGATCTCGCGTCAGTCGAAGGAAGCTTCTTTTCCACCAATCAAATTTTAAAACAGCTATCTTTTTTTTTTTAAAAAAATATCACTTGTTAAAATTAAAATTCCACCTTTCCTTGGGTTCTTATTCACGCGTCACAAATGACGTCAAAATCGGGTAGGGGGTAATCGCAAGTCTTAGGCGCTTTTCCGGTATTAGGAAAACACTGACGGGTAGGTTCCGCGTCGCAAATAATTGTCTTTTTCCTGGGAAAAGCTTCCAACGAAGGGTCTTTGCCAGCTGATTCCGCGAAAAACTCGCAAACTGTGCACCATAGTTAACAGAGCGCTGATGATCATTATTCGCTTCCTTAAATNGGGGGGGGTGATGTTGTAAGGAGAATTTAGATGCCGGTCATTCATAGGGGCCAAAGGGGTAAAGACCGTCGAAAGAAAGAACGTTTGATCAAAAGTTGGCCCGTACAAGCAGTGAAGACAGGGAAGAGGGGACAGTCGCAACAGATAATGCAGCTTAAAATAAATCAAACACTCCCTCAGAGAATTCTACTCAGTTCTCCTGTTTTCCTTTCACTTTAGTTCCCCGTTCCCTCACCCGTGCTATCGCAACTCTGTAAACCAACAAAAACGCCGGGAAGAAGTTTCAAAATTAATTAAAAGCAAACGATTAGCACCAATACGCAGTCTCCAGTGAGAGCTTAATTTGGATCTTGCGTCAGTCGAAGGAAGCTTCTTTTCCACCAATCAAATTTTAAAACAGCTATCTTTTTTTCTTTTTTTTTTTAACAAAATATCACCCGTCAAAATTAAAATTCCACCTTTCCTTGGGTTCTTATTCACGGGTCATAAATGACGTCAAAATCGGGCAGGGGGTAATCGCAAGTCTTAGGCGCTTTTCCGGTATTAGGAAAACACTGACGGGTAGGTTCCGCGTCGCAAATAATTGTCTTTTTCCTGGGAAAAGCTTCCAACGAAGGGTCTTTACCAGCTGATTCCGCGAAAAACTCGCAAACTGTGCACCATGGTTAACAGAGCGCTGATGATCAGTATTCGCTTCCTTAAATGAACAAATTTTGTAAAAAGCCTTAAGACTTCGTCCAGTATCCCATTACTGATGACGGAAAGATAAAATTACTGCAACATCCATCGATTTCATCGATATCCTTTGCTTGAACAACAGGTGATATTTTTCATTCACCCAACAGGACAATTTGCCTGATATTTTTTCTTCTTTCACCTTAGTCAGAGCCTTCGCTCTGCTAACGCTCAAAACGTCATCTTAGAATTCCTTTACAGTGGCTAATTTAGATATATACCCAGTTGATAAAACCAAATTATCTACTTATTTCAAACTAATCAGAGCGCGTGTTTTATCTCGTTTATTTTTATAAATGAAGCTATTTCACAATGCACTGAACCGTTTGGTGTCCACATGACACCAAATCATTTCACTTTAGAAACACGTTATAACTTTTTAAGTTTGACTTACTTCAGTAACTTAACCGGAAGTCGTTAGCGTGACAAGCTCAGTCAACTCTGACTTACATAGCTTACACTCCTCAACATTACCTAATTAGGCTTAAACATTTAAATTGAATCCAAATTAAGACTCAATCACTCCTGTAATCACTAAACCGGCTGGTGATTATACAGTTTCTCAACTATCTGAACTATCTGTTGTCTGATTTTTTTAATTGTGAAAAGGAACGACTGATACATCTATCAAACTAAATCTTATCAAACTAAATAAACCGTTATGCATGAGACTTAGATCATTTATGTTCTACTCACACTATTAACTTAATTTCAATTTTTTTTTCAAGTTCTCTGTTGAAAGCGCTCGTATACAAACTTGACTCTAATTAGAGCACAGAACAGGGATATCTGAAAGCATCATCAAATTCAATTTTTCGCCAGCTTAGAAAAGAATTGCGCGTTTTAGCATAGAGATTTGATATGCGAGAGAAAAGATGAGAAGAAAATGCCAGGAACGAGGTGTGCGCGGTTCAAGAGATAATCCCCGGGCCTTAGAGGTAAAATAATTAAGTTCGTGTGAATGCGCGAGTGAACGGCGAATAAGAAAATACAAGATTGGGAAAAAGAAAAGAGAAAACCTCTTGAAGCAGAGTAAGAGAAATATCAAAGTTGAAGTTCAGTCTTCAGCGCAGAAAATAAATGGAATCAAAGCTTCAGCCAAGTTTGTGGTTTTTTAGCTTTTCGACAGGAAGTTTCTAGAACTTGTTTGTTTCAGCGCGTGGAAAAAACCCCTTGACTGTTTGACCTCTATGTACGTAAGCAGTATAGAATCGTATGTAATTTGCCAATATCATGTTGAAGAAACAGTAAGTCACGCGACATTCGAAGCGATTTTACTGTGCTCTTGGAAACCTGTTAACTTGTGCGGCAGAACTTTATCCTACCCTGAGGGGTAGTGAGGGTGGAATGTATGACTTAGCATACATACTTTTCTTCGATTAGCTGATGACCTACGTTTTACACTATCACCGTAAAACAAGGTTTCTAGAGTTTACTTTCTTTACTGATCTTTCGAAATTTCAGAAATTTTGGTCTTTAGAAACGGATTTATTTTTTAAAGAAAACTGCATGCGCGGAACTTGTGGATGTATTTATACCGCTGACGTAACGTCCATAGTAACGCAAAGGCCAAGAGAGATCGAATCTATTGTTACATCTTTGCTAAACTTTTTTCCTGTTGCCGGAGAATCACCACCTCATAGGCTTGTCTTTTTGGACATTGAAGTCAATGTAGGAAGGTAACAGTCAGCGTCGAAAAGGTATTTGTCCAAAAGAAAAGCGGAGCTGTGGGTCCTCGGAAAATCAAGATGGCAAGTGCTTTGGAGACTACAAGTCCAAACTTGTCCTACCCAACTGGTAGGCAAACTTGATATCTTAATCATTCTCGATGTATTCATTCCCATTTAACGCATTTCAGTTAACAAAGGCCATGATAGTTGTAGAGGTGATAAGAATTAAGGTAAAGAGACGAGAAGTTTGTTTACGACTCTCGCTCAACGGATGCGGGAATCAAAACCGCGAAGTTCATTCACACAAACCAATTTGCAACCGCACGCAGTCATGTTCGAAGAAATTTTTGCGTTTTATGGATGAGTTTTGAGTTTTTTATCCTAATGAAGCAGCCCATTTTCCGGTTTTCAAATGTGGGTTAAAATTGGAAGCGTCTGAAATCCATAATAAACGCTTGTCGTTCGGCCTGGTTCCATTATTGCGGCGATGAACTTCACATTGGGCGCGAGTACTTAGGGCTTAAAAGACAGGAGGTTATTATTCCTTGTTTCGACTTAAATATCTAATAATCGTCAATTGTTTGTAGGGGCGCCTGTTTCGTATTAATGGCGATACTTTGATTAAATCGTTCAGTACAGATTCTTGCCCTCGTGTTTTACATTTCTATTTGCATATGGAAAATTATACATAACCCATCAGCTGTCTTTGGACAGAAAATCGTATGTTTTTCTTTTGCACATATCTTTATTTCTGTCTGTAAAGCTCATTTTATCATATTTTAACTTGGTTTGATGTTCTATTCCAGTGCAAGGTTAGATATTGTGTTTGTAATTGACTAATTTTACAACATTGTTTCATATGGTATTTGCTGGCGAAGCGTAAATTTGAAATGGCGAACAAATATCAAATTGGAATTAGTTCTACATACTTGATGCAAGAAAATTGTATCAGACACGAACCGTATTAGCCGTTTTTTCTTCCTGTCATAAATTTTCTAAGCTGTTAATTGAGTGAAAATTAAATTAAATTTCGGAAGTATATTTTGCAATTCTCGGTTTTTGCGTGACCTTGCGCCATGGGAAAGTTGTGTAGCTAATCTTTTGCTCTCCAGTTCCTGCCAAAACTAATCTAAATTTGGATCATGAATAGTGCTGTTGTGTAATGTTACGGAGAAAAAAAATATGCTGTGTTGTTTAAGATCTTATCGATAACAGAAGGAACCTCTTGAGTAAAAACTTTGAGTGTTTTTGACACGTTTCTTTAATAGAACTCAAGAGTAAACCACATTTGAATCAGGGAATATTTGATTGTTAATTTTGGCAAGTTCTATTGTTAAGTGACAATCCTTCTAACTACTAGAGCAAGTTACCCCCTACCAAGAAAGCCTTTTTTGTTCATTGACACCATGATTTCATGGTGAATTAACTTGTGCAATGGACTTTCTTTGTATTTAACTGTTTGTAATGTTTCTTAATAAGTTATGGGTATTGGACTGGTTGTCAAGCAACACCAGTAAACAGATTTGAAAACAAAATAACAAATTTATGAAATGCTCGTAGGCTTCCTGTTGATTAAACTAGACAATACTTGCCTTTGTTCTGGCAAAATCCATGTTCTCATGTCACAAGGTAAATACCTTTGTTAACTTTTCCCAAAAGTTGAATATTCAGCCATTGCAATGTTTGGACCCTTTCTCTCTCACAAGTGAAAAATGTTATTAATTTTTTAACCCTTAATCTGTCAAGCGCGGATTATTCCGCGCATATGACGTCATGGACAAAAATCGTTGTTTACATGAAGTAGAGTTCTCCCAGGTCGGCTATAAGCCTCGTTTTCATGTCTAAGGCTGTTTACGAACCTGCTGAAATTTTTTCACGAACTGGACTGTATTATTTCTCTTGAATTTGGTGTTTTTTCTTCAAGCCTTCGATTTAAATGTCCTGAAGGGTATTTAAAGATGGCGTAGGTAAAATTAGCTTTGCGTTTGAAGCCATAATTCAGTCATTTTTCGCTCAAATTTGGTAAAACTTTCTAAGAGCGATTTCAACATGGCGGCAAGACAAGCAAGAACATATACAGCAGAGGAAGTTGCTAGGATTGTCATGGATGTTCCCGAGGATAGCGATGTCTCTGACTTCGAGGGGGAAGAAGGAGATCAAGAAAGCAATATGGACGGGTCTAATACAGACTCTGACGAATCATACAATTCTGCGAGTGAAATAGAACATGAAGCTATTCCACCTTTGGAATCGGATGATAGTGAGAGTGATTTTCAGCGAAATGAAACAACAAATTCCACTAGAAGACGATCGAGTAGGGGAAGACCACGTGGCAGAGGAGCACGCGGAACTGCTGCACGAGGGGCAAGATCACGATCCCCTGCAAACCGACGTGATGAAGACAATTCAGCTATAAGGTGGGGAAATCGTGATGAGAATGTTGTTGTTTCATTTCCTGAATACAGGGGGCAGCACGGCCCTATTACTCTTCTGGAAGCTGACTTTGAGCCAGTAAATTTTTTTAGTCTTTTATTCCCTGAAGAACTCTGGGATATTTTAGTAGAACAAACAAATCTGTATGTTGCCCAGAAACAAAGAAAAACTTGGCTCTGTGACACAAATAAAGATGAGATGAAAGCATTTGTTGGTGCCCTTTATTTCATGGCTTTACACAGACTGCCCAATTTTGATCATTACTTTTCTCGGGATTGGGTATTTGCTGTTCCTGCAATGCAAAGTGTTTTTACCAGGAACCGATTCTGGCAACTGTGGCAGAATTTTCATTTGGCTGACAACACAAGGCAGCCTGCTCCTACTGATGATGCCAATGATAAGCTCTACAAGTTAAGGCCCATGATCAATGGAATGAAAGAAAAATTCGAGCATTCATACAATATTGGCCAGAAAGTTTGTGTTGATGAGCACATGGTAAAGGGAAAAGGGAGAAATCCTTTCAAACAGTACCTTCCCATGAAACCAATCAAAAGAGGTACAAAAATCTGGGAATTGGCTTGTTCGTGTTGTGGATACCTTTATGATTTCCAGGTGTACACAGGGAAATCTGGTGGAAATGCTGAAAAAGGTCTAGCACATCGGGTTGTTACTGACCTAGTTGCGCAACTTCAGGACAGAGGAACTGTATTGTACATTGACAATTTCTTTACCAGCATTCCCCTTTTGCAAGAGTTGAGTGAGCTATCAATCAGTGTTGTGGGAACAATAAGAAATAATCGAAAAAATTACCCAAAGGCTTTGCAGGGTAAAAACTTACTAAAACAAATGAAGCGTGGTGAATTTCATACTGTGGCATCTGAAACAACAGTTTGCACAGTGTGGAAAGATACCAAACATGTTTCTTTTTTATCAAATGTGCACTCTTCTCATGGCAATTGCACAATCACCAGAAAACTGAGAAGAGGTGAACAGGTAAATTTGCCCTGCTCGCCATGTGCAGTTGACTACAATAAGAACATGGGTGCTGTCGATCGACATGATCAAATGGTGCGCAATTATGCTATTGATCGCAAGTCCAGGAGATGGTGGGTGAGAATGTTTGTTAACTTTTTGGATGCAATTATGGTCAATGCATACATTGTGTACAAGGAAAATTTCCGAATTATGAACATGCCACCTCCACAAAAACCCCCAAAGCCATTGTCCCATGACAAATTTATGGCTGGTGTCATCCACAAGCTGATTGGAAATTTTTCTTGCCGACGTCAGCCTGGCCCAGCACCAGCCATGCCTCCCCCTCCATTTCATGGAAGGGACCATGATTCTGTCAATCTTGCTGACCTGGGGCTCCTGAAGTTTGGAAGATGTCACCACTGTTGCATTGGAGTGAAAGGAGCAAAGCGAAAGGAAACTGGCTTTGGCTGCAGATCTTGCATGAAACGTTTATGCCGTTCTGGTTGTCATGAAGAATACCACAGGCAGAACAATATCTTCTAAATATTGTCTAGAAGTACATTTTTGAAGAAACTTGTAAGATTTGTATTTTCCTTGCAAATTTCTGGTGTTTTCTGGTAATTTGTTTTGAAAAAGTAAGAAAATTTCCATAATTTATGCAAATGTATGGAATAAATAAGCATAATTTATGTAGAAAACGAGCATATCCTAGTCCATCCGATAGCACATTTTATTAGCTTTATTATGATATGTAATAAGTCATGATTGGTTAAAATCTCGAATTTTAATGATTTTTTTCTTAAAATACTCTTGAAATTTCTATAATTATTCAAAAAATTCTGACAGATTAAGGGTTAAATGAAGGAGCCACTGTCTTTTTTTCCAGGTGCTGAAGATGTCTTTGATCATGAAATAACATTGCTAGAGGTGAACGTAATGAGGCACTTATCATTGATGCGGTCTGGTTCACGGCGACCTCTCTCAGTAGATGATAGTGTTGCCGCAGAAGAATATTTGACCAACTCTCCTCGATTTAGGGACTCCGGCTTTTTCTCACCATTATCACAGTCATCCAGTTCATTTTCCAGTAGTGATCAAACTTGGATATCACCACCTCCTTCATTGTGGCATTGTAGTACACCAGAGCCTACAACAAAGAAACAATTGTCTTTCTTCCCAGCAGGTACTGTGTGTGGAGAGTTTTAAGAAATATTGCAAATATTGTGTAAGCAATGTTGTGGTTAATTGAAATTTTGAATTTCTTTTTTGGTTCAGTGTAGTGCTAGAGCATCTTTCTTTTGCTGTTTAGGTAGTTTTGTACTTGTTGATAATTTTTATCTTTATATAGCAAGTTGGTCCTGAAGTAATTCAGAGCATACTAACAGGTACTTATTTAGTTGGGATTTTCCTGTACAGACTGTTTCCATGGTAACAGTCATAGCCCATCTATTTTTATTAGTGAAAGGCAGCAAGTTTAGAATATAGGAGTTTGGTCCAAGTTCCATATAAAAGACTACTTATACTAATCTGACTCACTCAAGCACTCCTGGGGTTAGTTACAAACCTCAGGTCACGCGCCAATATTCTCTAGTAATTGGCCCTCACACTTGTTTAGTTAAAAGTTATTACATGTAAGTGATTAAATATTGTAGTATAATGTGTGGTTACTCTAAGCTATAAGGAAGAAAAAAATTTATAGAAAGAATGCACCAACTTTGTGTATTTTGTCCAGCCCCATACCAGGGTGTTTCCTCTTACCCTTCCATGGAATCTATATTTGGTGACATACATGAAGATATTGGTGTATCTTGGAAAAAACTTGGACGTTATATGCTGACAAGAGAATGCATTCTCGATAACATTGATGAAGATTTCAAGGGTGTTGGAGAGAAAGCATACCAGTTTCTTTTGAAATGGAAAGCAGAGGTTGGAGAAGCTGCTACTCCTCAAGAGCTGTTTTTAGCAGTGCTGCATATCAAACGCACAGATGTTGCCAAGAAGTTGATGACTTTGGTTCCTTCTCTTCAAATCTTGTCACATTTAGTGGTAGACAGTATTATTGGCAGTGACAGCATCCTATATAACTGGAAGGAAGAACCAGAGAATTTCAAAGTGGAGAGGGTGTTGAGTGAAGATAAAAAGGTAATGATGTCAAAAGAATTGCAATCAAATAATGAAGTGGTTAATATGATTGGTTCATCAAATACTGATAGTATTCACCCCAGTTCTTCATAAGTTACAAGAGCTCATAAAAGGCTACTATGCAGTCTCTTTTTTTTTTTTTGATGGAGACATTCAGAGGTTTCTTGTTGCTTAACATGATTCTCTTGCTATCACATTTCTCACTGAGAACTTTTGAAGAACAACTTAGCTTTGTGCAAAAGCATCAGAGTTCAATTTGACTTATTTGCTGCACTCTCAATAAAAGCAGTCAAATGGTCTTGTTTTGTGGTTTTATGATTTGAGGCATTTCATTCCTCCTTAAGGTGGTTGAACACAGTTTTCGTACGCGCTTTTGCTGATGCAATTCAGCACGTGCACAAGGATTGCAAAAGACAAACATGCCGTTAATAGAGCGGTCATTTTATTTACTCAACACGTATCTGCACTATCTGTGCTATTTTTCTCTATAATTGGCGCAGTGTATTGAGGGCTTTAGTCTTTTATTATAAAGACATGTTAGAAAAGTTAATGGCAGAAAGAACCCAGCAATTCTCAGCTTTTCCACTGTTACCGACAGAACCCAGTCAAATGCAGCACATGCTTAGTAAGTAAAAAAATTGCAATTGAATAGAAAATTGCTTTCTCGGAAATATCCTTATTTCTTGAGAACCACTTAAATATTAGAATTTCACGAAATTTGGTAGGCAAATACTTTAGGAAGTAAGTAACTGGAGTATTGAAAAAAATTAACTTTTAACAAAGGAAATTCTAGATAATCGAGTGAACTTTCAACAAGGGATGATTAAAGATCTCTCTGTTAAGTTGTTAGCAAAATGGTGTTAACTTGTGAGTATCGTTACAAGCTCGTTGTATGCAAATTCTAAAGAAAATCTAATGAGTAGATTTTCTACAAACAAACAAAACCAATTTTAAAGGCCTGTTTATATTTATTCATGTCACCATGGCAATGACGCATATGCTAGGCAACTATCAAAAAAGCAGCATTTGTGTTGTTAACTTGCTTGCAGCCAGTTTTGGCGACTGAGAGATCAAGGTTTTCAGAGAAAATGATGAAAGAAACACAGGTATCAAAAACTGTCTTCAGCCACCTTAAAATGTTTCCAAATGAGCTTGCATTCTTTAAATACTTTGGTTTAGAATGTCGACCCTTATATACCATCCCAAAGTAAGATGTAAGTGACTTCCTAACCCTAACCCTATCACTCCCAGAGGTGACCAAAGTGCAATTTCTCTCAACAATATCAATACCTTATCAATTAAAGAGGTGATGAGAAGGAAGAGAAAAATCAACAGGGAGATGGCTTGGTTGATGTAACACCAATTTTCTCAATGCCAAAATTATAAGAAATGTAATGGAAAGCAGAGAGGAGAATTAATATGGAGATGTTGAGAGTGACAGGGTTAATGTGGGTCCTTGGGATATTTTGTGAAACCACATTAACCCATTAACTCCCAGAAGTGATTAACATGTCACTTGTCTCTGTAATATCCATAGTTTATCCTCCAACCAGGAAATGAGAATACTCAGACTTGTCATGTACATGTAGACGTTGTTATTCTGATCTAACACTAAAATTCTTGTAACTAATTTATAAGATGTGTAGCAGCTTTGAGAGGAAAGTTAACAATCAGATCTTAGGAGTTAAGAAGTTAATTCATGTTAATTAATTGAATGCAGTAGTTTGGATGTAGGTAAGATTTGAATGCTTGCAATATCTGAATGAAGTTGGTTCTAATATAGGCATTGTTTTTCTTTTGACCTCTATCCAGGTTCTTGTGTGTTCAAGCACAGTGACATCCCAAAGGTTGGTCCTTAAACAAGAAGAAGGTCAAGTGAAGGCTTATGCTGTGAGAAAGGTGAGGCCAACATACTTTGTATAGTGTGCATATACATTTTGTACTAATTAAATGAAAGCTACTGATTCTGTGAGGCAAAGTGGGTGTTAAAGACTGTAAAATGACATTGAGTCTTAAAAAATTAAACTTTTTTAGCATTGTCAGAAACAAGTTTTTGGTAACGATTTAATCATTCACAAAGTGGCATAAAGGTATTTCGATTTCAGATATCACTGTGTTTTACAATCCCTCCTTAGTTCCCAGCCATTAGTAGCTTGATTACTAGTATTCTCTGTTCATAACCAGGCAATGTAACCTTGAACAGTGTAGGGATATGATCTGTGTGGTAAGATTCCTTTATGAGATTGGCAGCATAGCAATTAACTGAATTTTTTGCTTGTTATTCCCTTTTTACTGTTCAACAGTGCATAGATTGTCAGGCACTGAGTAGACAAAGCCAGCGTTTACGTAAAACTGAAGAATTCCTCAAAGACTTGCAAATGAAGCAAAAGATGATACAAGATCTGCTTGGTGTCATCAAACAACTCCAGAACCACTTGCTGAATCAGCACCAGTACATCTCTGGACAAAATTTCAGCTGTCAGAACTGTGGACAGTACACGATGAAACAAGACCTTGTTCAAAAAGAGTTAACTCTTTTACATCATGAACTGGAAAGGATGAGCCAAAACAGAAGCAGGCGAATCTCATTCAGTGGTATTCCCTCTGAGAGAATCTACAACTTGGCAACTAGGACTTATACTGTCTGCGAAGAGCATAGGGAAATGCACTTGCGTAGTAAGAGACGGCAAAGCATGTGTCAGCATTCTGAGGAAACAATTGACTCTGATGAGAATGATCACATTGAAGGACCATTGCTAGTAAGATCGCTTTTTTTATAGTTTTTAAAACAATGTTGATTGCACTGGAACCAAGGGTACGCTTTGATTTTTTTCATTACCTCCAAACTTACTGTGTACTTTTCTTACCCTGCAGTGTGCATTAAATGTGATAATCGGTATTGGTAGAAGGCGAAAAGTTACTCAGTCTTTGATAACCAAGAAAACCACTAGTGGGACAAAGAAAAAGGTATTTACAAATGAATTGACCATTCATAGTTATTAATTAGCCATTCATTGTTTAGGTTATTGCATTTATTATTGTTTTTTATTATTTTCTTTGTTTTTGCACTTCATCATGCAAAAGTGATTTCTAAATGGTATTTCAGTCCTGAAGGTGTAGTAATGTCAGATTAACATTTGATGGTAATTTCTGTAATTTCTCTGTAGCTAACAAAGGCCAACAGTAATCCTATTTCCTCATCATCATCATCATCGTCATCGCCATCGCCATTCTCAAGACAAAGCTACTTACTAGCGCAAGAAAATCCCATAATGATGCCAAGTTTTGTTCGCTCACCTGACTGGTCCGGTGTCCCAGCATTTAAGGTTAGTTAAGGTGGGTTGCGTGAGTGGAGCTTTTTGTGTTTGCCAGAAACACATTGCAAAATGTAAGGAGTGGATGTGTAGGGTGACATTAGATGCTTTACTGTGTGATTTTGGTAATAATAATATTGGCGGTGTTTTATTTTTTTTTTAATGAGTTATAATGTACAAATTTCTTTTACATATTCAATTGCTTGAGGTTGAAATAAGGTGTGGTCTCATCAATGACACTGGCTATTAATCCTCCTGTCCCTATTTCAGTATTAAAACTGGGAGAAGCTTGGTGAAGTACAAATATAAATATTATATGGCTTGTGTAACTCAACGTTAACTGATTTTAATGAGTTTAATTGAAAGCTTGTTGGCCGTCTTTCCACAGCTGTCATCTGACTTCAAGAGTCCAGTCTCTAGTGGGAACTCTGGGCAGCAGGATCAACTCGACCACAGAAAAGCATATCCAGACCTTGCGGTTCCTTCATGTAGCGATGATCATGATGAGTTGCTTCCTCTGAAGTGGCATAATGGTGAGTATTTCTGGAGGAATTGTTTATTTTAAAATTTTTCCCTTAAGTTTATAGATTCACTGTGATTATTTTATGAGAGAAATTACTAGTCTATCTGAACTTGGATTAGCAATAGTTTGATTGGGTAGCCTGCTTGTTGATCATCCAGGTGTAACTTGAACCATTCGTAATCATAGGGTATAAGAAAGGCAGGTTTGGGTTCCTACTTACACTGTCTTTGCTCTGGTCAAATTTGAGGAAATAAACATAGAGAATAATTATTGATAGTGTGGAGCTATCAGAAGAATTTTTTTTTGGTCATAGTTTCTCATCTGCTCAGTAATATGTCGTTTTGCATGCTGTCAATAGTTCTACAGAGATTTTTTCTATGACTTCCATCATGTATGCCAGGTTTTAGGTATACTGTAATAACTAAGAAGAAATTGCTCATTTTAAACACCTTTCATGTATGACACCAAAAAACGTTTTCAAAAGGCGTTTGCAGTAAAAGGTGCGACCTCAAGGGTCAGATGTACATTATTATCATCGTTAGATGCAATTGGCTAATGATGGAAGCCATCCAAGCTTTCTCAGAAGAAAAGGGAAATCACAGATTAAACTGAAAGAGATTTCCCGTGAATAATGAGAATGGGTCTCATCGTTCATGGGTCAACGGTTTTGAAATCAAATACATGTACTACAGGAAAAAAAATTTTTTCTGTTCATACTGATGGATTGTTTGGATCATGTTTCAGATCCAGAATCAGAAGAGATGATTATTTAGGTGACTCATGGAAGGAAGAGCTCTGTCGTCAGCTGTGAAATTTCACGCTCCCTATGTATAATATCTACATGGATAGTCAACTGACGTACATATCTTTGTTTTTATTGGTTATGATATGTAAGGTTATGTAGTAAATGTCTGTTGTAGATATTTGTTTCATTAGTTAAGGTAGTGTTCTTCTGTTGTATATGAAGATTTTCATTAGTTTTGTAGCAAAAGTTACTTGAATCTTTTGTAGGAACTTAGAAATATCTTTATTACGCCCTATTTTGTGTCGCTAGTGCAGTAGATAGCAAATTTGTTCTTATAGGGGCACTAGTGAACTGAAAGAACGATAGTAGCAGTAGCAGTAGCAGTAGTAATGACTGTAAAGTTTTATATTTATGGAACGGCAAAACATACTTAAATCTGTTCGTTAAACAAACCAATCCAAAATAATTTGAATTTTACCGTAATTTTTAATTGTACATGTATTTGTGTAATTCCTCCAATTTAAGTGAGCACTCACCAGAACATTATCCTACTCAAGAGAGACTTTTAAATGCACTTTCAACCGCTAACCTGTACTTGCAGTCTCAGAAAAGTTTTACCACGCTGGGTTGAACCCAGCGATCCCGCAGGCGGTCAAGTTGATGTGATCTAGCAGTACGAGTTATTCACTAAATGTTTTTGCTATTATTTCGTGAAAGCGTAGAAATTGATGATAATGTTTCATTTTCACATATTCCGTGCAATTTAGTACCCATCGTCCAGGAGAATTGTAGTAATAAGTTCCAAGCTCCCAGATTGTGCAATAACTGACATGAATTAACCTAAATTATGTTTTTAAGTTTTAAAATTATGTTTGAACGTTCTGAAAGCGAAAAGAAATTACTTGTAGCGCTATAACGATTGTTCAGTATTTCTGGGAAGCTAAGGTGTAGTTTAGCGTAAAATTCCTGTGAAACAGGATTTATTTATTATCCTTTCTCTCTCTTCTTCTCTAACCGCCTCCCGGTTAGCTCAATTAGTTAGAGCGCCGGACTGTTGAGCGGAAGGTCGAGGGTTCGAGCCCCGACCGGACCAACTCTCAAGCTCTTAAAATAACTGAGGTGAATGTGCTACCTTTCTATAATATCATTGTAGTCTTCTCGGATAAGGGCGAATAAACCGTAGGTCCCGTCTCCTGCATCTGTTAATTAGTTAACTTGGTTAGGCAGGAGACGTTAAAAAACCTACTCACGAGATTACTGTGATGTGGTCTGGCCTGTTTATTGAAAATTTGGGGCATCTGTTAGATTTGCCTTTATTCATTGTAAACTGCTACAAGCAGTCTGGTAAAGTCTCCCGCACAGTGTTGTAAGAATGGCCCTGAAAAGCTCTATGGAGAGTGGTCAATTAAACTATGTATGTTGGTATTCAAATTTAACAAATGATGTACTTGTCACTTTGATTAAGTCAAGGAATTAGTTTCCTAGTTAGAATCTGGCACGAGAGGCAGGTCCTCGCTAGCACATTCTTATTGTGATTATTATGATTATTATTATCATTTTTTGATAAAACAGTTGAAAAATTTGTTTGTTTGGTATTGTAACTTAATTGGGTAGTGTAATTTCTACCCTGGGTATTGTTATTAATGACAGATAATGACAATGAGGTGTGGAGAATCACTCCTCTGGCCTGGGACAAGCCCAAGACCAGGCAAAGATAGGGGCTGAGAGGATCAAGCGCGAGGGAGGGTAGGTTGCCAAGCTCTGCACTTTTGCGGCCTCGTGTAGAGTGATGGTGTGGAGCACGTGTAACCTCTTTTAGAGTCACATTTGCATAATCCCCAGGGTTTTGATTACCAATGCAAATCGACTTTGCAAGGGAAATGTTGCAGAAAGCATTCGGAACGCGCGGTGTTAAGTGTGCAGTGTTCAGCTGTTGGAAGCCTGGTACCCAGTTTTATCTTACCCAGGCTCCTTAGGTATACTCGCGCCCCCCACGCCCATGTGTGCTCCTTGCGTGTAATCCTCGCGTGAGAAGATTGCCTCGGGAATATTCTTGGGATTGGGTTGAGTGCAGTGGTGATCCTGTTATTAATAACCCAGTGCTTGTGACTTCTTTGAAAACAAACCAACAAACAAACGACCTAAAAAATCTTAGGCATAAATTGATGACAATTATTTATTTCACTGAGATGTATGAAGTTAGAACTAGAATCGGTAGGGAAAAGGTTGCTAATATTTAACGCATGGTTGGTTGTGTTTCCGTTTGGAAACTACTCGAACATCTTTTTCACAGTTGTATTTGCATTTTAGCTGAATCTTCAACTTGTGTATTTTAGAAAGACACTCAAATTCATGATTACCCTTGCAATCGCGTAATACGGAAATTACTTCACTTTATCCGCATTGCAGTTGCATTCAGACTTCTGCTCGGCTTCGTCTGAGTTTCCCATGCACTGTAACCAGCTGTCTATAAACATAACAGGCACGAGAAAATCGAGGAGAACAGAATGAGAATTTAAGAAACGATGCAGCGATCTTTCCAGTTCAACATGTGTCAGGTTGCTTCTTCTTCTTACTAATTCAGTGATGGCAATATAAGAATGATTTAACTATAACTTTAAAGCGCAAGTAAAGCAGGTTTTCAAATAAAGAAAGTGAAAGCAATGCAAGGAATCAGCAATTTGTAAGAACACACCTCCTCGGTGGTGACTATGCACAATGTAATCTAAAAGGAGGTCTCAGAAACAGATTTGACATACATATATTTGGCAGGATGCCATGGTGTAGTGGCATCGGTTGGAAAACATGATAAGTACTCCACTGATGCCTAAGAAACAATCCACATATAAAAGAAATATCCTCCTGCCAAGTTCTCCAAAATTCTGTTTTGCTTGCTTGTCTTTGATTCTGTTTCGTCTTGTATTCCTCAAATCTAAAGCAAAGGCTTTCAAACCCTGCTTAGAATTAAAAGTTATTTTCTTACTTTCTGGGAGTTTTCCCTGATTGATATTTATTTCCGTCTTAGCTGATTGACAAGATGTCTTTTTTTTTCTCAATTGAATGGAGAGGTCATCGGTGAACAATTAAATTAAAGGCCGGTATGACAACAATGAGCTTTTTAAGTTGACTCCTGCCATTTTATTTCGCTCCGGCCTTAAAATAGGATGATGTTTGCGAACCTCGGGAAAACACCAACATCATCGCACTTTCAATCTCTTCACTGCTCCAGAATGAGCTCGTTCTTCTCCGCTTCCTAAAATTTGCCGATTTCGAAACTCTGTCTAGTTACAGTAACTGTTGAAAAAGGTGATAAATTAATTCATTTAAAAGGGATTCTTGAATCGAACGACGCCGTTCACACTTATGTACTTTGGCGACGTCCAGGTGCAGGCAGTCAAGTACGTATATTGGAATTTAACGGATCAAGGTTGGTATATAAACTACTGAACAACGCTAACTAAACATTAATTAAGAGCCTGTAATCGAAACTTATTAATTTGTTCGCCTAAATCAGATATAAAGGACACGAGTGAACTTCAGGCTCCGGTTGTTCAGTCAAAGAGCGGATAACGCTATCCAACGGATAACGCTATCCAACGGATAAATCGCTATCCAGCGGATAAGTGTTTCCAAAACGTACTGTGCTATCCACCGGATAGAGATTTATCCATTGTATAGTGTTATCCATCATTCGAACAACCGGGGCCAAGTCTCTTCCACACGGTGTCCATTTTGTAACAGAGGAAAGGCAAAGTCGTAACGAACCTCACACGACTCATGAGAGGAGTAATTCTGAGCAAGAAAAACTTCTCAACAATAAGTTTATCAGAGTGACTTTCGTAAAACATTTGATGCAAAAAACATATTTCCGCATGACCGGGAAGGCATGGCATGGGTAGGGTGAGGAGTTTTAAAGTTAGATGGGAGGGGAGCGTTCGTGCAAACGCTTCTCAGACAAATCAAGCTTAATTTCCGATGCGTGGAAATGAATAAATCTAGCATGAAAATATAACAAGTCAGTCACTCTGCTTTGTCAGAAATGTGAATTTCGCATATGTCAATCAGTGTATGTCTGAGCTTAGTTTCTCGTGCGGCAAAATTTCTCAACAAACGGTTTGAAAGCGGCGGAAGTTTGTCTTTGTTTTGTCTCGTCATGTCCTTTTAGAATTTCCGTTCTTGTAGGAAAACAGTAGTAAATGGTTGATTAGTTGTCGGAGTTTATCTCAGTCGAAACTGACTTTGAAGTAATGCAGTGAAAGGTCGCTAGATGGTTTTAATTTGTGATCTAGCGCTAGCCTTGAATTGTAAAATTCCCATCTTAGACATATTTGTCATAATTCTTCCCTTTGTGAAACCCGACCACCAAACAGTAAATTAAAACAGTCACACAATTTATCTGAATTCATACTTTTTCAAAGGCTTCTTCCTTGATAAAAGCAATCAGTGGCTTTCAATGCCGTAAACACCTTTGATTAAGCTTCTCCAGTACGTTCTAGTTACTACCTGAGTGCCATACTAAAAACCGAGTCTCGTGTCTTTGTAAACTCGAGACGTGTTTGTTTTTGGTGAAACAGAACCACTTTAACCTTGTAAGTATCTATTTAGCCTTATCCGGCGTTTTGTTGTAGATTATGTTCTCTTGCTTAAAATTAAAGCTGACTTTCTAGGTATAAAATTGGGCCTAAAAGTTAAGATTCGGCAACATATGAAGGGCTCCTCGCTTTCTGGCAGTTTTCCTGATTAATTTTTCAGTGCTATGGAATAAAAAAATTATTGGTGACTTGACAGTTTTAAGGAGGTCATCACGGGTCAATAAAAAGTTTGACAGAAAGTGACTTTTCGCGGTAAGCCCCCGTTTCCATTCGCTCAGAGCCTAGAATAGAAAGTCATCAATCGCAAGCCACTGTCGTGGGACAAACAACGACTTCCCATATCAGGATTATACGGAAACTACCCGTTGAATCTCTTAAGTACGGCTTGGGGAACAGTTTTTTTCGCCGTTTCTAAGTTATTCCTAGCTTCATACTCTTGTTGCATCGGCAGTATTTGATCGAAGGAAAGAGGTGACACTTTTGTAAACTATAGGGGTTGAAACAACATTAAGAACCGCACGTCATCAAAGAGGACACTCGCACTTTTGCCTGTTCCAGCTGCAGCTAGTGGTAAAAAAAAAAAAAACTGGCATTTACTGGATCGAGTTTGGTGCATAAAGGACTGAACCTGAGCGCTCAGTTAACAATTATCAAGAACTTAGAATTGAAGCATTTTTTTTCGTATCTTTAATCTGACATAACTGACCATTCAAACCGATCTTTTTTAGGAAATAGCTAGAGACTTCCGCTGCGAATTTTCTGACTCTGACAGTCCACGGCAAATTCTGAGGTATTTAGTGAACTAGAAGAATGGCCCAAATACCAGGTAAGCATGGAGATTCTTACAAAATGAAACACTCGTTAAACTATTTCCTCATAAGGCAAAGGGCATGCGTTGGGTATGGAAAGAAGTTGAGGTAATAATGTGAGTGGGGGGGGGAGAGAGGGTGCGTCGGACGAGTCAGGCTAAGCTGTCTGAAGCGTCTCACGTCACAGCATAACAGGTCAGCCGCTATGACTGATCTTAATGTTCACAAATCAGCGCGTGTCTAGACCCAGTTTCTCTTACTGATAACTTTGTTATAAGCAGGGAAGGTTTTTTTTGTTTTTTTTTTTCGTGTTACTTGCGCTTTTGATTTAAAAAACAGATCGGAATTCTCTTTATAGTGGTTTTTAGTGAATTTACTGGTTCACCGACTTTAAATATTCAAATACAATTAGCTCTGCTAACTCACCCGGAAGCGATGAGGTCGTAACGTATAATAGTGAATCGTGGTAAAGTAGCACTAAACTAGCGTCACATAGGTGGTTTTTATTTTTAATATAGCCTTAAACTGGGAGAAAAAAACATGGCCTTGTGCAAAACCCTTGGCTTTGAAATTTTACGTATTCAATCATGTTTATTTTGACTGTTTAATTTGTTTTACGCTTCACAGCATTCGAATTATCACATATCACGCACAAGCAGTCTAGGGTAC